AATTTGGGTGGGCGCAAATATACTAACCCTTTATTCCTCCACTTTACAAGTCATAAACTAAACCCACATACGACCTTCAAAGTCCTAATTGAAGTAAGGTTTAGTTCGAAAGCATACTCGATGAGATATTGTTTCCTGACTCCTTGAGCTATGCTCCAATTAAATCGGCTTTATAAAAAATTAAAAAAAAACTTCAAGACAAACGCGTGTTGCATTACCCGTTTCAAAATTGACATTTCTGACTTGCTAAATGCGCTTGACATCTTAGAAAGATTACAAACGAACATTGATGGATTTGAAGACTTTGCTAACCTAGGGCAAGTTATTTTCCAAGAGGTTTGATCCGTACTAGTTCGTCTTTCATCTAAAGCACAAATTGGAAGACTCATTTATACCGCCAATCAGGGGCAGTTACGTCGAGATTCAGCGAATCTCTAGAGAGTTTGAAAACAGTGGGGCATTTGGACATCAAGTTTTCTGTAAAATCCTCTCTAAATGTTGTTTCTTAAACCATAGACTTGGGGCATTTGAAACCTTGAAGCGAAGCGGATGTTTATTTCATCCCCAAGAAGCTCAACTCCAACATGATCAACAACCATGATGACCCAGGATATTCATTTTATCCCCTATGGCATTTCAGTTTGGGTACCTCCGGCTACAGCTTCACACAACCTTTCAGACTTATCAAGATGCTACATCCCAAATGGATTGATCTCCGTTCTTCAAGAGATTTTTTGAAGCAGGATTGTGATCCCGTATCTAGTTCTCCGTCTATCCCCAGTGGTGCTTCTATCTTCAAAGATTGGTCGAGATGTTTATCTCGAGATGTTTATTTCATCTCCATCACCTCTTTCTGTCTGTTTTGTCAGCATAGGCATACGCATAGCATATAAGTAGACAGCATGGCATGTGCATTTTCGCATTCTTTGTGTTTGTTTCTATCGCCTTGGCTGTAGTTATCCCTAGGTGTTTGGGTGTGTCTTATCCTTCCAATTAGATTCGTCCCTAGGCGAAAAGAGCACAATGTTTCATTTCCCCATAAAGTTCAACCCTCATGGAAGACGGTTATTTTAGTACAATTCCATTTGAGTTCATACCTCATTGGTCGAGTCTTGCTTGACAGTTTCTTTTTGGCTACTTCCCGATTTGAACTTCGGTCTTCGGCAATCACATCATGAACGTGGATTAAGTGTGCATTTATTTTGCACCCTTCTCCCTAGGAATAATATTCCTAAGGACAGACATCTCTTCAACAATGGCATCACAGGATTTTATCGAACGTCAATCTCTTTATTTGAGCAACTCGTTTTGATTAGGATCTTATTCAAAACGACAAAACGAAAATTTTCACAAGACAGATCATTTACCATCAGTGGATCCTTCAACATTAGACAGTTACAGACATTTCTCTCAGGAATAACTTCCCCAGTGAGTTCATTACACAAGTTTACTTCCGTCAAGTGGCATCTCCCCAGAGAAGTCAAAGAAGTTTACCACAATAGTATCCGTACTCGAGAAGACATACGTTACAATTCAACCGGCTCACATCTCTTCCGAAGATCCCCGGTGAAGCTACACCTACATTTACAATCACATTTACAAATTCACAACTACAGCTACAGATTACGTCAAATTACATCTACAGGGTTCTACAACGAACTACATCTACAGGGTTCTACAACGAACTACATCTACAGGGTTCTACAACGGACTACACCTACAGGGTTCTACAACGGACTACACCTACAGGGTTCTACAACGAACTACACCTACAGGGTTCTACAACAAACTACATCTACAGGGTTCTACAACGAACTACATCTACAGGGTTCTACAACGAACTACATCTACAGGGTTCTACAACGAACTACACCTACAGGGTTCTACAACGAACTACACCTACAGGGTTCTACAATGAACTACATTTACAGTCTACAACGACATCTACAATCTACAAAATTACAACACCCTATGAAGGTGCTCTCACGAGTTTTCATCATTTCGGGAAAGGACCGAGACCAGCTCATGATTCCCATATCATGATGCTCGGGGAAGTTCTACATCAGAGACTGAGACCAGTTCGTGGTTCCCATACCACGATGCTCGGGGAAGTTCTACATCAGAGACTGAGACCAGTTCGTGGTTCCCATACCACGATGCTCGGGGAAGTTCTACATCAGAAACTGAGACCAGTTCGTGGTTCTCATACCATGACGCTCGGGGAAGTTCTACAACCACAACAACGTTTACAATGACATTTACATCTACATCTACAAACTACAGTGATTCTACCATCTACAAAGTTTTGACATTTCAGGCAGAGACTGAGACCAGCTCGCGGTACCCTTATCGTGACGCTAAGGGAAGTTGCACATTTTCAAGTTGAGTTCCAAAAGAAAAGATATACACAAAAACGAGAAAAGAAAGAAAAGAATGCCAAATAAAACTGAACCATCGACTCAATTCATTAGGATTATTACCAACCACAATATTATGATGATAAGCATATCTTTCGGCCACAAGCTTCTTTCCCACCACCATATCCCTGGTGTATGAGGTACTGTTATACTTTTGGAAATTCCCCATTGGTGTTTGTTGCCTGTCCTCGTAAGGGTTACCTGTTGTCAGTCCTGTTATCCCCTCTACGTCGTGCCCTGTGGCACCATTTCTCCATAAGACCCCCCGTTTGTCTTGCATTTCCATATCACCGCATATCATGTGCATTCGGTGGCATCTTAAGGCCAAAGATTTGTGCAATGTTTGTATTTAAGTCCCTCCTATCTCGTCGAGATGGAAATTTCAATTTCCATACCTCCGAATAGAAGTAACTTAAATAGGGGCATCTGTCGCACCCTAATTTTTGACCGCGAGATCCCACCTCTTTTCGCGCACTTTCTGTTGCTATTCGACTTTAAGTTAATATTTTATGTCTTATGGCTAACCAACTCGTGCAAAGGCAGTAGCACCAAAATATAATTTTTTTTTACAGCCAAGACATCACAAGGACGTGACTAGCTCAACTCAACATCAAGAGTGTACTAGCCACTTCCAGGACTTCTTAAGATCTTTCGTTCAAACGTGATCATTTGAGGACTAATCTTGTTTTATGAGAGCTTCCGTGCCATACTTCAACATCAAGTTTCAAGAAGTACAACCCCCTTTAGGGAGAACACAAGGCTACAAGGTTTTTTTCTTCTTCTTCGAGTTTAAGTGGGGTTTGAGTTATTGAGAACATTCAAGTTATTATGAGAAGTTAAGTATCCCCTCTGGAGATGATTATATCCAAGACTTATTACCATTATTGAGAATACATACATGATATCAAGGTTACAAGATTGGCACAGTTGTTCTTTTCAAAAGAGGAAATCTACATTAAGGCATCCGTTCCTAGTCAATTACATGCCACTATGATTACAATTTAAATTGGAAGTAATTTCGTGGAACTCTATGAATACCATTTCAGGCCATCTATTTTATTTCTCCTCTCAAGGCATATTGAGTTTCATGAATCAGTCGTGATCGAAGCAAACTTAATTGCTACATAAATATTCAACCTTTTCTTAAACTAAAGTTATGATTGCACTGCAAGTTTTGTAACAAGTGATCTCAGTCACAAGCAAAAGAGCATTTGGAATAAAGACTTGTAAGCTTAATCATCCATGGCAACTTCCAGCGCACGACTCAGGAAGCGGTAGTCGGCAGCAACAAATCACAAGATGCGACATCGAATGCGCAGAATCTACAATCTGCAGTTCAGCGACAACCGCCACAACAAGATCAGCAGCGTCTTCCCCCACAGCAGCTACCGGTCCATAAGTATTGGAGCAAGACCCTCACGCAAAGGTTACCGTCGACAGGGTTCGGCATACGTTGGCTATTGTCGTTGGGTTAGATCGACTAGTATGCCGGTAACACCTGAAGCATGAAGCAAAACATAAATGGCCAACATAAGTATGGAAGCATCAACATTCAATCACATAATCATTATCAAATACTCAGGTATCCAGAAAGAAGTTTATCTGTTCTGCTCAACAACTTCATCCGCAAATTGAGTTACGAAACGTTATGCTATCGAGGGAGTCCTGACTTCTTCCACCAGATTATGTTCAACCTGCTACATCCGATTCAGATATCATTGAGGGGGGCATCACGATTCTCACTGATTTGTCCGATAAGCTTTACACGTATCAAGACTCCTGTTAAAGAATGTCAGCTATACAAAAATTCGTCTAGACAGAAACATGATTGAGATCCTGGAATAAGCCGGCGAGAGCATTTTGGAAGTTGTCCATAAGCTGAAACAAAACAAGAACGTCATCAATTATAACAACTAATAAATCAGCAAGACAACCTATCAAACATACATCAATAGTTGGGAAATAATACCACTGAGTCACAGGCTGTAATATCTGACAAACGCAATTTGCTAAATGCTTATGACCTGTTGAAGGCTGAAAAGGAATGCTCAGTGATATCCCTTGAATGTTGTAAACAAGAAAAACATGAGCTTGAAGCTTCTCTTCTGAAATGCAGGGAGGATAAGTCCAAAATTGAAGCAGAGCTTACCCTGGTGAAGGAATCAATTGAGACTTTGAAATCTAGTGTGAACATTCTGAATGAGGGTAATGGCACATTGTCTTCATTAAATCCTCAAGAAAGATCAACCCTGCGGCTAAGTCACGAACCAGGAAGTGCAAATTCAACCCTCAGCGTGCAACCTGAGGATCCTCACGCATCTAGAGTTACGAATGGATGCCCTGCAAAAAAAGTAAGAAAACAAGCAAACATGGTTCCTTGAATAATCCGGTTTTTTTACTCAGTTGGTCAATATACCCCAAGGGCATATGTGTTCCAAATTCTATTTCATTCTTCCACTAAGTATTACATGTCAGAGATGATAAACTTAATTTCAAAATGTGATACAAGCCAATACGGGCATGTCACGAATGGCGGTATAAGGCGGAACTTTGTTGGAGGTTCTGGGTAGAGTTCACCGGCATTCAGTAACCACGTCCTGGTAAAAGAAGTTTTCTCCCAAAGCCGTCACACGAGGAATATCGCTGCGCCAATTGACCTCCGTCCTTATAACAACAGCTACACCTAAACAAAGAAGAAAATGTCGCCGATATAAGTTCATCTGTCATTTGAATTAGAAGAAGTATGTTATGATGAGGCCAGGCACAGGATGATGTTCTTTGATTACACCAGAACGGCAGTTCAACCGAAGAATATAAAGGAGAGAGCCGTGTATGAGCTGCGCATTATTACCGAGGTCGGATAGCATGAGCAGGCCTTGCCCGGTAGCTATGGTTGCCATGAATCTTCACCAAAGCATGAATAAACCAGGAACAGTCACGTATGCCTGCGTACAAGATTACATTTTCTTGGCTTTAATATCTTAAATCACGTTTGAACACAACTCATGGTTTAAAGTGCAAAACATACCTGTGATCATTGAAGGAATTCTCCAGTTGAAGGTTAACTGCATCTAGAAGCATCAACCCACTTGCATCGAATAATTGACCACTTTATACGAGAGAATGAAATCCGCCATGGTGGGCTCATCCTCTACTGAACAGAAGTGAGGAGCGTCAAACACGGCAACTTCAAGTTATCGCCAATGCCGCTTAAGGAAAGGGGTCGACGTGGTTAAGACATCATTGCAAAAGGACAAAGACAGATCGATTAATATACTCGGTTATCCATTAGTAGATTTATATGTTTGAAGGATAAGTTTCATACCACACCAATACATTAGAGCTTTGAGTTGTGTTTTATACAGGAGTTGTGTTTCATACAGGATATCAGGACTCCCTGTTTCGCTCTAACTCCACGGCAGCCTTTTGCAACTCTTTGGAGACGGTGGAGGCGATGAGTAATGTGTACGCAAGCTGCAGTGACAAAACCATGCTAGAAACACATAATACATAGAAGAGGCTTCATTGCAAAGTGAAGGAAGTCCTGAGCAGTTTTTGGACCTTCAAATGAAACAGGCAATGGCTTTACCTTGGAAGCTTAGACAGAACCTAGTGGCATTGAAAGACAAGTCAGAATGCAAACTCAAGAAAACTCTCCAAGTTACTCAAGCCCAAAATAACCAATATTCACAAGCCCAACTCAATCATTATCCGCACCTGCCAGGAATGCAAATCCAAATTAGTAAAACAATCGGGAATATTCCACAAAAGATTCAGAGAATATCCAAATCCAAACATTGAACCTAGACAGATAACATTCAACGGATTTAACACAGCAAATCAAAGATTTAATTTTCGTTCAATAGACATTTAAGAGTTTGAGATAGAAATAGGAAAGTTTTCAAATCGATTGGTACCAAAACGGAAGGTCCAAAATCAATCATCAATCAGCATTCAAAACTTACTTCAATCAGATCCCCACACCAAATCTCGATTGAAAGTCTATATAAAGAGAAGGAGGAGAACATTCAGAAAACCCTAACAAACACGCAGAGAAATCCACGACATTCAAACACAGAAAAATTCACAGCGGTTCACAGATGGCTACAGAAATCCCTAATTGAGAAAAAAAACCTAACATACAGAGCAAAATCAAATAGAAAGGAGGAACTTATCTCTTTCTGAATCCACCGCAGAATAGCGACTCGAAACCCTTGTCGGAAATCACCGCAAGGTCACCTTCAAACTTTCACGCCGCCGCGCACTTCAAACACCGAGAAAAAACCGTTGTTAAGAAAAGAAGAGGACACGCCCAGAAGCCTAGGATCAGAGAGTATCTTCATTGCTATTAAAGCTCTGATCATCCTCGAAGCTCATCATTGCCGGTCGAAGAAGAGTAACCCGCGTCGTCGACGCCTTTTTGGGTAAAATTTACGCTTCGAATTCCCTTTGTATGTTTGATTTTCGATTATTTTGCAGGCGGACGACGAATTCGTAGGATGGAGGAAGACAAAGTCGGGAAATGATGGAACCAGAGGAATGACCTGAGAGAAGAAAGAAGCAGAGACGGAAGAGGATGGGCGAAAGGGATGAAGAGGAGATGGGAGCGAGAGAGAGACGAGATCGAGAACGGAAAGAAAGGGGGGGAACTTAGGGTTTCTCAATTATTATTATTTTCTTCTAAATTTGTTTTGTTGTCGTTAATCACACACCCACTCACCACTAACTCACTAATCACCACTTAATCACCCCTAGTTTAACCATTTAACAAATATCAATTATCTAATTAATCGGTAATTAGCTTTTAAAAGAAACTACTAACTTTTTTCATAATAAATCCTTTAATTAGTATGTTCTAATTAATCTTTTAAAAAAAACCTTTTATCTAATTAATCTTTTTAAATAAACCAACCTTTATTAACCATTATTTAATCCACTAGGAAATCAAAACTTCATTTTAACCTTTTGTTTTATTCAAAATAAATTTATTAATCTTTTTATTAAATAATGATTTTGATCAGTTCATTAAAAAAGGACATTTCGTAATTTAATTTATATTTGTTAAGGACAATAACAAAACTATTTTATAAGAAAAATAATAAACCATTTCTTTTTTTTATAATAAAATAAAATAGAACTTCTTAGGTATTTTTTGAGAAACCATTTTACTTATAGGTCACCCTTTAAAATAATTTTCTCAAACTTAATCTCATTTAAATTGAATCCAATCCTTTTAAATCCCGCTTAAAAATCAATTCAATTTCATGTAAAAGGAAGATAATGATATAACTTTTTTTATAAAAACAATCAACAGCGTAAAATACAACTTAATCGTGCACCCCACGACACACTCACTCTCACACACTTCAGCGCTTTCATGCGTATGTGTATGGCTTTATCATTTTCACAATTTACATTATCATAATTTATTTCATCGCATTGCACCCGTCCAAAGGAAAAACCTACACATGAGTCAACACTTGTGTGTAGTGCACACCATTCGCATCATACTCCCTTCGATCCTTGATTCCATTCAAGTTGATCGCTTAAGTTCAGGACCTACCGCATAGGAAGGACCTTGTCTTTATCTTTACAACTTAGACAAAACATAAATAATTAATACAATACAAACTTTTCAAACACATTAGAGAATAGATGTTAATCATCTTAAGTGAGATATAATCTCCACCCCCACAACAATACAATCAAGCCGTAGGGACTTTGCCTTAAGAGAAATAAAGGCATACTCGTCAAACAATCCGAGTACTTAAGCCCTTTTCTTAAGATGATGCAAAGACTATTTTCCTACAACTTGTGGCGGTTAAATCTCCCTTAAAATGAAGACACATCTCTCCTCCTAAAAACAATCAATCAACTACCCTAAACCTGTAGGAACTTTGACCACAGTCAAAGAACTCCTCTAACCCTTTAGGGGAACTACAGATACTCTGATTCCACTCCCGTAAGGATATGTAGGCATAAGACGCGATGTCTTATCGAGTATACTTAGATATAAACCACTAGGGTCTTCCAACCATTAAGCAGATAAACACTTAGCAATAAACAAACATAAAACAAGAGGTTCCTGTAGAGTACTACAGAAACTTAGGATGCTAGTACCTTCCCTATGTTTAACCAACCCCCGAACCTATAACTCTCTAAACCTCGCATTTGCATTGCATTGTGGGAATTTCGATCTTTATCCCTTCCTTTGGACAAATCAAAGTTCGGTTGCAAAATGAATTAAAGATTCAAACTAATCAATAGTTTGGTATCCAAATTTCACCGCGACAATATATCAGAAGTATTATCACAGAAAATAGAAATGTTACTTTCAAAGATCTGATAGTCTTCTAGCTGACTTTTCATCCAGAGCATCTGCGTGCTACATCCAGCAGCAGCAATATATTCTGCCTCTGTAGTTGATAGTGCAATTGTGGGTTGCTTCTTGCTGTACCAAGAGATTAAATTTCTTCCTAGAAATTGACAACTTCCAGAAGTACTTTTTATTTCCACTCTATCTCCAGCGTAGTCAGCATCACAAAATCCAACTAATTTGAAATCATCAGATTTTCTGTAACACAAACCCACATTAGAAGTACCTTTCAGATACCTTAGAATCCTCTTAACAGCTGTTAAGTGTGATTCTCTAGGATCTGATTGGAATCTTGCACACAAGCATACACTGAATAAAATATCAGGTCTAGAAGCAGTCAAGTAGAGAAGAGATCCTATCATACCTCTGTAGAGTTTCTGATCTACTTTCTTACTTACCTCTTCCTTACCAAGTATACTTGTTGGATGCATGGGAGTTTTTGCCATCTTACTATCAGTCATGTTAAACTTCTTCAGAAGCTCTTTAACATATTTGGTCTGATGAATGTAAGTGCACTCTGGAGTTTGGTTGACTTGAATTCCTAGAAAGAATCTCAATTCTCCCATCATGCTCATCTCAAATTCTGCCTGCATACATTGAGCAAACTCCTTTCCCAGCATAACATTGGTAGATCCAAATATAATATCATCCATATATATTTGGCAAATTAAAAGATCTTTCTTAAATTTTTTACAAAAGAGAGTTGTGTCCACTTTGCCTCTGATGAAATTTTTCTCCAGAAGAAAATTGCTTAATCTCTCATACCAAGCTCTGGGAGCTTGTTTTAAACCATAAAGAGATTTCTTTAGTTTGAAAACATGTTCTGGAAAATTTTCACTTTCAAAACTAGGAGGTTGGTGAACATAAACTTCTTCTTCTATAATACCATTTAGAAAGGCACTCTTAACATCCATTTGATAAAGAGTGATGTTATTTTGTGCAGCAAAAGAAATGAGTAAACGAATAGACTCTAACCTGGCTACAGGAGCATAAGTCTCTATATAATCAATTCCTTCTTGATGGCTATAACCTTGAGCAACAAGCCTTGCCTTATTTATTTCAACTTCTCCTTTTTCATTCAGTTTATTTCTGAAGACCCATTTAGTTCTAATTATGTTGAATCCTTTTGGTCTTGGAACCAAATCCCAAACATCATTTCTTGTGAACTGATTTAGCTCTTCTTGCATGGCAATTATCCAGTCATTGTCTTGCAGAGCTTCATCCACAGAAGTTGGTTCAATAACTGACACCAACCCAAATAATGATGCTTCAGGTGATCTGATGAAGGATCTTGTTCTAATGGGGTCATCCTTCTTTCCAATGATCACATCCTCTGGGTGAGAGGCCTTGATTCTGGAAGATGATCCTCTAACAGTTGATTCTTCAGAAATGTTCAAGTTGTTCATCTGAGAAGCTAAAGGAACTGCATCTGGCGTTGCTTCTGGTTCCTTCACTTGAGCTTTGTCTGCCTCTGAGCCTTCAGAGTCTGTGAGAATTACTTCTCTATCTGCAGAACTTTCAAACTGCTTTGGCTTTTCAATGCCAAGCTTATCATCAAATCTAACATGTATAGATTCCTCCACAATCTATGTTTCAGTATTGTATACTCTGTAGCCTTTAGAGCGTTCACAATACCCAAGCATGAAACACTTCTATGCTTTA